CAGCCGAATTCCCCACTACTGCCCCACCTGTCTTCTTGGGACCTAGAAAAATAGAACTACTAATACACTTCACAGCCTCTGAATATACTTTTTTCCCCTGTTTTTAAATCTTTGTAAAGTTCTTTCTATTCTGAATCTCCCTCCTTCTTATCATGATGCCAGCATTAATTTCTACTTTTTCCCATTCTTTTAGAGCCAGATCCCATATTATCCTCACTTCAAGTAGTTTTCTAACCCCCGAAGGGAATAATAGCTCTCTTCTTTAAAACCTAATAGTACTATTACTGCTACATTATATATCCCATATAAAATCTATTTTTATATTGAGTAGACGCCTACATATTTTACAGAGTATATTCTATTATATGCTATGTGTAATATACAGAGTATACATTTATGTATTTATACATACACATTATATACTCATTCTCTGCCTGCAGTTCTGTTTTAAACCCTCTACTGGGCTGTGGCGAACCTGGGGGCCAGGACTGTACCAGATTCATCCTGTGCCCTCCACAGCATGTAACAGCTATTCAGTAAATATTTGTTGAATTATTAAGTATATATCAATCATTGAATATTGAATAAATACCCAAGGTTTCTGGGTCATGAGCTGCTTCTTAACATAATTTTTATAAAACCCTTCTTTAAACAGGGTCTCAAAGCGTATTCATATATATGTATATATGTATATACATATATATAAAACATAATTCAGAATTTAAGAATAACTAAATATAGTAAAATGAAGGTTGCGTGTTAACATATTTAGGATGAAAATACATAGTAGGAAAAAAATACCCATCAATTAGTTAGGCATCAGAAATTTTCCATTTGCTTATGTACAGTATATATGTTTAGGCTAAAGGTCAAAAGCTAATGACCAAAACATGAATAACAATTTTTAAATCAATGAACAAGGGCCTTGTTCACACATTAGGAAAGGTTGTTCTAGAAATCAGACCCTACACACCTTGAGTACATGTGCCTTTAGAAAGCGTGACTGTAAAGCAAAGTCCACTGTGGTAAATTACTCCAAGGCAGAGACTATTTTATTCATCCTTGTACCCCTATAGTGCCCAATGGATTAAAATTAAAAGATACTCATTAAATTCAATATACACATTTAAATGACTTTTGTCCCATTTAAAATAAGCCACCTTGCAATGCTTATACACTATAACAATAATATCCTCCATTTCAAAGAGCCTACAATTTGGTTTCCACTATCTATGACAGAAAGTTAAAATTCTAGCCTGAGATTCAAGTCCCCACACAATTTTCTTTCCTTTTCTAAAAGTCTCATTTCCCATTTCTTTCCTTCAAGCATCTTATCTGTCAGTCAAATTGAACTTCCTGATTTCACACTTGCTTGCCTCTGCACCTCTGGTCATTTGGCAATTTCTCATGTTATTTATCATTTTCTCCCTTGCATTGTATCTTATACATAGCTAGATTGTGAGTTCCTTATGTCAGAGACCACATCCTATATGTCTATAACTACACTTTATCACCTAGCACAGGACCTGGCACATGGTAGGCACCAAAAAAAAAAAAATCTGTTGAAGGAATTACTGAATGTCTGAATAATACCAATGGAGCTCAAAACTGGAAACTACTTCTTGACAAACCATAGGAGAAAAATGTTTCCTTAATTTATAGCAAGGTTCTTAAATATTAGTAGGCATTAAAAATACCTGGGGAACTTGTTTACAATGCAAATTAATGATGTTAGTTGTCACCAGGAGACTTGAAGGAATACCAAGAGGCAACTGTAATTATCTAGTAAGTGGGAACGAGCTCCTGAACCACTGTTGAGAGTAAAGAGGACAGAAGGGAAGAGACGGATGCAGGAGGGTAGCAGGTGCACTCCTGGCCATGAGAATCATCATCAAACTTGTCCTTTGTAGAAAAGTCATTTCTTGGCTCTTTTTCCTCACATCTAATCTTTTGACTTTTGAAATCAGAATGACAATGTGTGTTTATTTTAGGTTCCATTCACTTAAATGTACATAGAGAAACAATGTTTCTCAGAATACTCTTCAGATACATACCATATTTCAAAATGGACAATACATAGGTTAAACCCTAGAAACTTTTTATTCGATAAAGCTCTTTGAAAAAAAAAATGTTACTATGTGTTAGATATTGCAAAAGATAAGCTCTGGTTATAAAGCAGCAAGGCACTGAGAACTAACGTGCTCCCTTCAGATTATTTCAAACAGAGGATATGAATTATAGGAAGTAAGACTTCAAGTGGTTAAGAAGAAAAGAGTTTGCCTTTTAGAAGTTTATAAAATGCCGGTATTCTAAACTTCATACACTGAACTCCTTAGGATAGTCCGATATAGTACACGCTATCTGTCACTTCTCTATCCATTTGGCACCGACTGCATAGAAACAAATGTTACAGCGGCTCAAAAATGGAGACTTCTGGAAAAATGACCAAAGCCAAGAATAAAGCTGTACTAATTAGAACACAAATAATTATATGGCCAAACCCGAATGTTGTGTGATGCTGAAAAGAGAGAGATTTCTACGGCACGCCATCTGTTTTACAGTTTTTGCTGTACAAATCTACTCAGTACAGTTTGCAATGATCTATTTAGCTGCTAGCTCATTTGCACAATTACTTTAGACCAGAAATACTTATTGCACAGAATGATTTGAGAGATCAACATTGTTATAAAAGAGGGTAGATATAACCCATTTTTGAGTGAAGACTATTTTTTTAGTCCTTGGAGAAAAAAATTATTCAAAGAAATGATTAGAAATTGCCCAAGGAAATTATAAAATTTAAAAGAAGAGTGCTATCACTATAAATTTATGGTATCTAAACTTATCTGGGCCTTCAGGGTCACCATCAACCTCTCTCTTGGCAGGTCTAATGGAAACTTCTCCCTCATCTTGACCTTTCAGCGGCACTTACCTGGGAGCTGACTGCTCTCACTTTTTCAAACATTTTTCTCACTTAACTTCCCTGGTACCACTCTCATAATTGTCCCCCTCCCTCATCAGCTATTCCTTCTCAGCCTCCATTGCCAGCTTCCCTTCCACTAAATGTTGTAGTATCTAAAAGCAGGGTGCTGGGGTCTCTTTTCCTTTCTATCCGTATTTTCTTCCTAATTTATCCCTTCAGTCCGATAGCTTTATGTGGCATCTATATACTCCCAGTTCCCAAATTCATAGTTTCGGATCAGACTTTCCAGCTCCAGACTCATGTATTCAATTATATTTGACATCTCTATGTGGAAGTCACACTGGTATCTCACACTTAGCATATCTAACATGGAATTCTTGAGTCACCACACTTCCCCCAGTAAAACAATATCTATTTTTCTTACAGTCTTCCATATCTCAGTAAGTAATATCACTATCCAACCAATTGTTAAAGTAAAATCTAGGAGTCATCCTTGACTCCTCCTTTATCTTCATCCCTCATCTAATCCATCACTGAGTCCTGTCAATCATACCTAAAAAAAAAAAATCACATTTATTGCTCTTCAACTCTATTGTTACCATCTTGTCCAAGCCAACATCATCTCTCAATAATACCACTGCAATGTGGGCATATCACATATGTCCAGTACCTGACATAGTGTCTAACAAAGTAATAGTTGTAAAATAATTTTTTCACAGATGATTACTGCTCAGCAACATTCCTAGGTGTCTTGAAAAATCTCCAGTCTCAGTTCCCAGACATTTTTGGAGATACTTCTAGATTAACTCATTTCCTGAATCATTCACCCATTCGGCAATTATTGGAGTATTGTATTAATTGGTTTTAGGTTCAACTGCACATTTTACAGTATCTTAAAGATGACAGAAGTTTTTTCCTGCTCAATAAAGCGGTCTGGAGGTAAGCAGTCAAGGGCTGAAATGGCAGCTCTGTGAGCTGTGACCCGTGGTTCCTTGCATCTTATTGCTCTGCCATCCACTTTAGGGTCCAATGTGGCTACTCAAACTCCGGCCATCACACCTGCATTCCAGTCACCAGGAAAGAAGACAGGCATGGGGAATGCCGTGGCCCCTCCATTTAAGGACACTTCGTAGAAACTGCATCTACTTCCACTCAGATCTCATTGACCATCACAGTAACTAGCAAAGATGGGATAATTAGCAAAGAACACTAGACAGCAATGTTTCCAGCTAAAAGTCAGGATCTTCATTACCATGGAAGAGAAAGAGAGTAAATACTGAGAGCGAAGTAGCAGCCTCTTCCAAAGTTCCTGTTGTGACCAGGTAATGTTCTGGGTACAGGGATACAAATATCAGTAAGACAGGGTCTATGCTCAAAGAATTCAGCCTAATGAGGGGAAAACAATATATAAATGAATAATTACTCAACATTTCAAGCTAGGCAACAGCCAGTATTAGGAGAGACACTGGCTTTTCTGAGTCCCCCCCCCCAAATTCTTTCCATCCAAAGAGTTGAAGAGAAATGGATGGTTCCAATACTTCACATCATTAGACTCTTCCATATCCCACAGGTTTAATAATGGAGATTTCTCAGCTCTATTCTACTGGACTTGATACTTCATGGCATAAAGCAAAGTCCATTTAAACCTCTGTAAACAAATATAAACAACTATGGTAATAGTCTGTTGATGTTTTTTTGTTAATCCTCACTCATAGAGAGGAAGGGAAGAAGGAGGGGAAAGAGAGAAAGAAACATCGATATGAGAGAGACACATCCGGGGTCGGGGATCAAAGTTACAACCCAGGTATGTGCCCTTGACCAGCATTCAAACCCATGACCCTTTGGTCCTTGGGCCGACACTCTAACTGCTGAGCCAAATAGGCCAGGGCTGTGGTAATAGTTTTAACAGTTTGAAAATACCCATTTCAGAAATGTATCAAGACTCAATAATTTTTCAACTTGTCAGAACATAAGGCAAATTGACTGTTTTTTAGAAAAACTATATGTAAGGCCAAATGAAAAGAAATAAGCAATGGTAGAATGTCCAAAAAAAAAGAAAAGAAGTACTACTGGAACTTACCGTTAACCACTGGTTATCTAGCAGTTCCTTAGCCGTGATTCTGTGAGCAGGATCTACTTTCATAAGTTGTTTCAAAACACTTTTAGCTGCAAATAGAGAAAAATCCTGAATATTTTATTTATCTTAACTACAATTAATAACATACAATTCCCAACTTATTTAGAATTAGGTCTGTAGGACATGAAGGAAAGATGCCCATTATAAAGCAAATATTATCAGTATAAATAACTAAGAAATAAAGTTTAAAGCCCACAGTGAGGTTTTACTGCCTGGATTACCTAGTTTATATTCTAGTAAAAATTAACTAGGTAATCATCAAATTTCCTCCTCAATTTTTACTATGTATTTGCTATTTTGGTTGGAAGTTTTGACTATAACAATCACAGTGAAGATATCACTATTCCCACAAGCAAATAGTGTTATTTCTACAAGTAAATTTAATGACACACCAGAGATTGAAAGTATCTGAGTTACTAGAAAACTTTGTTATATTACATACATTGACTTCAGTAAAGAACAAGTCTGTTACCACAGTCACTTATGGAGTCCCAAACGGGGCCGTCGAAGCGCAGCTCTCCCTTTCTTATTAACTCAAAAAGCTTCTCTTCTGAGCTTGCCATGAAGGGTGGTTCTCCACATAATCTACAGCAAAGGCAATCGTGATCTTTAAATTCTTTAAATCAAAATAAGGCTACTGAAATTAAGTTTCCACAGGACTTGGAAGCAGTGGTGCTTCATATTTAAGTAAAGGAAGGAAGAAGGATAGAAATGAAGACACTGAAACGGTTAAAGACTTTGCTTACCTTGGTTCAGGCATCCGTTCAAATGGAGACCACCCTTGAAACCCATATATATAATTTTATTAACCAATATCATCCCAATTAATTCAATAAAAAATTTTAGAACTTAATAAAATATTTTAAAAATAGAGACTGCAGCCAAGAAATCAAGAGAAGACTGAGACTTGAAAGGGCAGAAATGTAAGAATTAGGAAGGATCGTCAAGAGCACAGATGTATCATTAGAGACCAAGGCTGAGCTCATCCATACCCTCCTATTCCCAATTACTGTGCATGGATGCGAAAGCTGGACAGTGAAGAAGGCTGACAAGAAAAAAATGATTCCTTTGAAACATGTTAGACAAGACCTCTACGGATCCTCTGGATTGCCAGAAAGATAAGCAAGTGTGTCCTAGAGCAAATTAAGCCTGATCATTGCTGAAGGCAAAAATGACAAAGTGAAGCTGTCCTACTTGGGACACATTGAGAGAAGACAGGGTTCTCTGGAAAAGATAACAATGCTTGGAAAAACTGAAGACAGCAGAAAAAGAGGAAAACCAAATATAAAATAGATTGACTCTGTAAAAGGAGCCATAGGCATGAACCTATAGGAGCTTAGCGGGGCTCTTGAGGACAGGACATTATGGACGTCACTCATTCATAGAATCTGTAAGAGTTGGATCCAACTCAATGGCATGTAACATACACACAGGAAGGGGTGGGTACCTCTCCGGATGTAGAAATGGAAGCAAAGGGGTTTTGTGAGATCAGTGCTAGGCTCTCATACACACTGAAACATCCAGCTCTGCAAATGATCCAAAGCTCTTCCAGGTAGGGAAACACTGAGCTTAAGCAGGTTAAAATAAAGGAAGGTTTGTACACAGTAATAGTTGCAGATAATAGAAGACATATCCTTTATTGTGAGCAAGGGTAATGTAATGGCTAAGGTGCATAAGCCAAACTAAATTTATGGAAAAATATACTAAGTTATCAGAGTTTAATGAGAATTATCAGAGTCTAAATGACCATGGTAAAATACTATGCAAATGTTAGTAAGAATAAACCAATAACAACCCTGGGAAAATCTATAGGCTCTGAGTCAAAGCTAAAAAAAAAAAAAAAAAAAAAAAAATTAAAATGACCACAACTCTTCAAAAATAGTATACAAAAAGAAGGTCTGGATGAGACAAGTCAGATGATGATGATTTGACCCTTCAGTCTGAAAGAGTGGATGCTGAGTATACATAATGACCAACATCAGTAAAACCATGTATAAAGTAAACATGAGCTTGTCTGCACATCTAGAACATAGAAACTATGTGTCATTAGAATCTTTTAAAAGGAAACCTGTACTATACTTCATGAAGAGCAAGGCGAGCCTGTGCTTCAGTAGATAATACAGTCCAACACCACAAAAACATGCTTAGAAGTTGAGTTCAGTTCTTCACAGTGCATTCTCAACAAGTATTAGCCATCCTCATTTTTGTCTACCCTGGCTTCTGAGAGCAACCCTGTGAACAACTACCAGATTTTCCCAATGACACCCACACAGAAGTTGGACCTGGACTCATCACAGAGGCAACTCTGTTATGTCTAATCTTCAACTCTCAAGACTGTATTTTTCCCACTTTATTGCTGAAAGAATAAAATGACACAATTCCATTATACTTCCCAAACGCTGGTCTATTATGTACTTAGGTGTAATGATCTCCAAAGCCACTTAGCAGTTACATTTCTACGAACCTTTTTAGCTATATATTTTTTTAAGTTCTTTTCCATGAACATTTTCTGAATAAATCTAAAGTGGATAAATATTTTGCATGAAAATGACGACGATGATTTTCCTAGGGGGGGAATAGTTGTTTTCATCCTAGTAATTTATCAAACTGGGCTGGACAATATAGCTTTTCATTTACCAACAGGTTCCTGTTAACAGATAGATAGGTATTTACCAAAGTGCTCCATAAACTCTAATTTTAATACTTTTTACTTCTCCAGCTCATTCTGACAATCCCCTTTCTGATCTTACTTCCTCACTATTATTTACTTTTAAAATGCAATTTTTAAAAAGCCAGAAAGATGGTCTTATGGGCAAATTACTATCTATTCTAACAAGTATAGGCCAGCAAAAACCCAGCTCACTGCGTCTGTTAATAACCAGCGACACGCACATTTACCAGTTTCTTAGCTGCTCCCTCATTGCCAGGCTAGCATGCAACTGTAGCTTAAGGGCTGCATTTTTAAAATTCCACTTTTTTCTGTCCTTTGCAATTTTACTTATACAAGAATGTATCTAATGGTTGGTCAATCAGCAGCATGTGAAATTTTATGATAGCAATTTTCTGCACATCCAGAAAAGGAAATCCAAGACATGAAAAATGCCTCTTAAAGCTTTCCTATTATTTTCTGTTGCATTCACAGGAATCAGAGCAGCAGAGGATATACACATAAAGAGTATTTATGTTAATTTCACCTTGAGGAAGTATGTTATCATTGTTCAATTAAGTGTTTACTGATAAACAAGAAAATAACCCACCCCACCCCCAGAAGGTAATACATTTGTGCCCTTGGTGAAGGAAATTATCTATAAGACCACCGGGCTCAGGGAGATTAATGAATAGGCACCGATTAGCTAAGTAAGAGTCCATTGTAAAGAAAAAAGATGTCATTTGTGATGATATGCAGCCATGCTCGGAAGCAGAAAAATTAAAACATCTTTAAGAAAGAGAAAAATTTAACATATTAACACACTACCACTTTCCTTAACACCAAATTGGAACCAAGAAGGCAGCAACCACATGAATTGCGTAATATTAGATTACACATATATTTGACTTGTGTTGTCTAGAAAGTCTTGAGAGTATAAAACATTAAGTTAAAATGAATATATATACACATATATACATATACATACATATATATACACATACGTGTGTGTGTGTGTGTGTGTGTGTGTGTGTGTGGCCCTGGGCAGTTTTGCTCAGTGGTTAGAGAGTTGGGTCTTAGACTGAAGGGTCTTGGGTTCAATTCTGGTCAAGGGCACGTACCTGGGTTGCAGGTTTGACCCCTAGCCCCCATCAGGGTTGTGCAGGAGGCAACCAATTGTTGTGTCTCTCTCACATTGATGTTTCTCTCCCTCTCTCCTTCCCCTCCCTTTTACTTCCTCTAAAATATCAATGGAAAAATATCCTTGGGTGAGGATTAACAACAACAAAAATTGTATCCACAGGCCGAGGCTCTAACTGCTGAGCCAAAGTGGCCAGGGCAAAAATAGTTATATTTTTAATTAAGGACTAAGGCTCAGAATTTTTACAACATGATTCTAACTAACACAAAACAATGATCGAAACTTGGTGAATACATTTATGCTCTAAGCAGTTTAAGTGGTTAATGCATGTTGACCATCTCACTTACAGCTATAATCATATCATCCCATTTCCACTGTCTGTACATTCCATGTCACACAACTATGGAAATGTGACTGTGCTGATGTCAATATTTAGAAATGACCTGGAAGAGGTAGTACACAGTGAAATCCTCACTATGACCATAAAACTAATGTTGCATCAACATAAAAATGTTCATATTCACCAAGAGGCAGAACAATGGCCACTAACTTTTCAAAACATCTCTTAGAAAATTCACTTTAATTCAATTTAACCAACATATATTGAGCACAAGCCTACTATTGTACCAGATACCAGGAATGCAAAGATGAATAAGATGTCTGTCCTTCATGGAATTTAGAGCAAGGAAAATAGATACAATACACATAATACAATAATTATATTACAATATTATAATCTAGTGTTTAAAAGTGCTATGAGAACACAGAGAAGGACACAATTAATTCTATCAAAGTTACACAGGTGCAAACCTTCCTGGTTCAATATTCTTATTTTATGATTTTGTTTTTCCTCTTTTGCTGTTACTGCTTTGCATGCATTTTTGTTTGTCGCCTTAAAGCAATTCTCAACCCTTTGGGGGTGAAACGACCCTTTCACAGGGGTCACCTAAGACCATCAAAAAACACATATTTCCGATGGTCTTAGGAACCAAGACGCCCCTCCTCTATTGTCTCCAGGCGGGTCCGCCCACATGCAGACACGCCCACAGACAACATGAGGAACTGTGTTAAAGGGTCGCGGCATTAGGAAGGTTGAGAACAACTGCTTTAAACCTCTGGGAAAGTATACATACTGAATGCAGTAACTCTCCTGAGGTAGAGTAAGAGTTAGGGAAATACAAGGCACTAATGTTTGGCCAGGACACATCCAGGAGAGAGGTTAGTAGAGAAGAAAAAGAACAATTAGGGAGAAGGAACTGCATGAGCCAAGATTCAGAGGCCCCGACACAGAGATCCTGGGCTGAGTCTCCGTCTGGTTAGTGCCCACTTGTCTAGTGCCAGGTCCCAGGAGCTCCTCGACCTGATGGGCTCTAAGTGAATCTCTTGAGAAAGTACAAAGAAGCTTGGTTTGTAGCAAAAGATCAGGAAAGTTTTAAGGCAAATTTTTCCCTTTGCTCAGATCATACAGTGCATTGTTGCATATGTAGACCAGTAAAAAGCAAAGCTGGAAGTTATAAATGTAGAGTATTAAAAAAATACCTGATGATAACAACAAGTGTTGGCGAGGGTGTGAAGAAAGGGGGACTCTAGTGCACTGCTGGTGGGAATGCAGACTGGTGCAGCCACTATGGAAAACAATATGGTGTTACCTCAAAAAATTAAAAATGGAACTTCCATTTGACTCAGTGATCCCACTTCTAGAAATATACCCTAAGAAGCCTGAAACACCAATCAGAAAGAATATATGTACCCCCATGTTTGTAGCAGCACTATTTACAATAGCTAAGATCTGGAAATAGCCCAAATGTCCATCAGTAGATGAATGGATAAAAAAGCAGTGGTACATATACACAATGGAGTACTACGCAGCTGTAAGAAAGAAAGATCTCTTCTCCTTTGAGACTACATGGAGGGACCTGGAAAGTATCATCCTAAGTGACACAAGCCAAACAGAGAAAGACAAGTATCATATGAGCTCACTTATTTGTGGAATATAATGAACATAACAGTCTGAGAAATGGGGTAGTCCCAGAGATGTGGAAGTGGGGTACAGACTGATAATCCCCAGAAGAGGGGGTGGTGGGAGAGAGATAAACCACAGAACTTATATGCATGTATGCATGAACAGTGGACATGGACAACAAACTGGGGACAGGGCAGGGAGGGAGGGGGTGGAAATTAGTGGGGGGAAAATGAGAAACATTTGTAACAAAAATTAATAAAAAAATAAATTAATTAAAAAAAAAATACCTGATGTATGTACCTACCTGACAACTACTAACAGAACTTTCAGAGTGATTTCCCAATTGTTTTTTCAGTCGCTTTTCAAAAGCTATAGTTTACTTTTTATTTTAAATCCATATGATTCTACTGTTAGAAACTATTCCTTCATTTTAAACTGTACATTTAGCAGGCTACTTACACAATGTACATGATGACACCTATGCTCCAAATGTCACACTGCTGGCTATAGTCATGGGCATTGATGACTTCAGGGGCTGCCAAACAAGCAGAAATAAAATAATATTAATAGTACAATAAATGACTTTTAAATGCTTCAACACAAAGCATGAAACATGTGCTGATGTGTTTTAATTTGTTCCCCACAGGGAAAAAGAGAACCAAAGCAGATGTTAACTGAATAATGTACAGGCCTCAACAACTGATGTCGCTGTACCCTCACTCCTACCGTTTAGCTTCTAACAGGACGAACTGGATAACTAGGTGTATGACTACTCTTCATTCCTTTGCAATCGTTAAGGAATGATTTTGTAAAGACTGTGTAGTTACAGTAGAAGACAGTGATATTTCAGCTCTTTTCCAAAAATAGAATTAAATACATGCCTTAAGGATATATAATTTAAAGCAAGCCCAATTTGTGGAAATCTGGATTCACAGAAAAACTAAGATAAAGGGTTATAAATCACGTTAGCAAAATAACAATACAATCACAGCAGTCCTACGACAGCATACGAACTACTTTCCATGTTTACTAAGAGAAAACTGAGACAAAGGGAGGATCAAAAAGCCATGAGTCACAGGAGTCCTGACTCCCCAACTCTGCTTCGTACTTTATGTGTTTACAATAGGGTGCCTTTATAGCCAAACATCTTTCAAAGTAGAACTTTTTTTTTAACTTTAAGGTAACACATTTTTTAATGATTAGATTTTTTTTTATATAATGACTGGTTTTTAAGAAAGTCACATACGATATTTCAGGAATATAGCTATTGTACCTCTGCAATAAGGAATCAAATATCCTTCTTTAAAAAAAAAGAAGAAGAACAGAACAGTTATAAATATAAAAATAAAACATATGGATATATTTCAATAGAACTATAACATTTATAATGTACTTTTGTATAAATTATGTTAAAGTATCTCGTGAGATGGGTATGTAGGCATTTGACTCACTTTGTCAAAGCAGAAACTAAGCTCAGATATATTGAGTGACTTGACTAAAGTTACAAAGGTGTTTTTCTTTTTTTTTTTTTTATCCTCACCAGAGGACAGTTTTTTTCCATTTTTTGTTCAGATAGAGTGGAAGGGAGAGAGAGGAAGAAAGAGAGAGAAAGAGAGAAAGATCGACGTGAAAGGGACACATCAAGTGGCTGCCACCTGCACGACCAACCAGGGCCGGGGACAAACTGCAACTGAAGTACATGCCCTTAGTGGGAACCAAACCTGGTCTCTCTGGACTGCAGGCCGACGCTCTAACCGCTGAACCAAACTGGCCAGGGCACAAAGGTGTTTTTAATTTTAGAAAAGTTTCACTCTCCCTCACACACACACACACACACACACACACACACACACACACCTTTTATAACTACTAAAAACAAATGGAATTTCATTTCCTCTTCCTAGTATTAAAGGGGCTAAAAATACAACAAAAATAAGTTTAAAAAGTAAACAGAAGAATAAGAAATGGCTCTACTATAGATAATTAACAAATGGAATAATTCATCTCCAAATCATTGAAAGTTAATGAATTAATATTTTCCGTTAAGCAATTACTTGTATTCTTTAACTCTGCTTAAACTCTTTAAATATGGAATCATTAACATTCAAGATGCTCCACGGCCACATGTCTATGACAAGGGCACATTCTGGGATGAGATTCCATGAAGAATCTCCATACAGGTACAACACACACACAGCAGGGGCCCAATTCCTGGTCCGCACTAGTTCAGAGTCACCTTAATTATCAGGGGCACTTCTACTGCACTGTCATCACAACTCTCACCGGGAGGCAGGGCCAGAGTAACTGTGCCAAGGAGTCATTTAGAAAGTCAGCAAAGCTCTAAAACCATCTGTCTTCTCTCTTGTTCTCGCACTTGTTATCAGTGTAGACAACTAATAAGCAGGCATAAAACTCAGGGTGCTTGGATATATTTTCCCCATATAACTACCGACCAGATGTCTTTTGCCAACAGGAGGATATGAACAGAATTTAAAGTAGCCTTTTCCCAAATAAGATAAAACAATTTCGAAACTTTATGCACCATCAAGTAGGCAAAAAATAATGAACTCGGTATATTCCTCAGCAAAAAAAAAAAAAGAATAAACTACTAATGTGTCTAAAAATCATTACATGGAACAGAAGAAAAGAGAATATTTACTGTATTTACTGTATGATTCAATACAGTATTTACTGTATTGGTTTACTGTATGATTCAATTTATATAAAGTTCTAGACAAGCAAAACTAAGCTATGGTGATAGAAATCATTAGTAGTTGCTGGGGTCTGGAGGGGGGCTGACTGAGGGGGACACAAAGGACTTTCTGGAGTGAGAGTTCAGTATCTTCATTGGGGTGGTGATTATACAAGATTATGTATTTCTCAAAACTCATCGAACTTTACACTTAATATTTGTACATTTTATTGTATGTTGATTATACTTCAGTAAAGTAGATTTTTCTATGAATCTAAAAGTACAAAAAGAATTCTTCAAAGCCCTATCTTAATTGGTGACTTTAACTTTCTCTCTTAGAAATCAAGAAAAGCAGTAAGCAAAATTAACTTAATATGGAATGTTTAATCAAAAAGGTATCACATTTGATTTTATAAACACAAACACAAGAGAAATGTTCATGCTCAACAAACCAGGAATAGACTTACTTCTAAATACGTAAGCAACATTTACAGAAACAGTCATGTGTTCAATCCTACAGAAAATTCCTAGAAGTTGGTAAAGCTTTAAGTCACAATTGCCTATTACAATGAGGAAAAATAGACAGAAAAACCAAAAGGCTAGGAAAACTAAAGCACATTCACACAAGCAGCAAACACATAACCACCTACAAAATTCTAAAAGCACTTCTAAATAATTCTTGAATTAAAGAAGACTAAAATTAAAGTTATAGACTATTAAGAAATAGTCTATATAATTCGAACATTGTCTAGACTAGAGCAAAAGAAATGGTCAAAGAAGTACTCAGAGGAAAATATATACCCCTAAATGCATTTATTAGAAACTAAGAAGACTGATAAATAAGCATTTAGCTTAGAAAGTTTAAAAATAAACCAAAGGAAAGTAGGAAAAAGGAATCCAGAAAGATAAAAGCAGAAATTAATGAAAACGCAAACCAAATAACATTAGACTTGAGCTGGTTCTTTGAAATCCCAATAAACTGGTCTAACTACCAACAAATCTGATCAAGAAAAAAATGATTATTAGTACAAGAGCTAAAATTGAGCACCAAGTGCCAGGTACTATGCTAATCATTCTACATATATTTTCTCATTTAATTCTCATGTCAACCTGATATTATTATTACATCCTAAATACATCCTCACCCCTTCCCTGTTTTAGTGTTCTCCCTTAGCACGTCTCTCTAATATACCAGCTATTTTATTTCTTTATCTTGTTTAATGTTATTGCCAACATGACATTTTTTTTTTTTATCCTCGCCCGAGGGCATTTTTCCATTTTTTGTTCAGGTAGAGTGGGAGGGAGAGAGGAACAGAGAGAGAGAGAGAAACATCGACATGAAAGGGATACATCGAGTGGCTGCCACCCGCACGACCAACCAGGGCCGGGGACAAACTGCAACCGAGGTACGTGCCCTTAGCGGGAACCGAACCCGGGTCTCTCTGGACCGCAGGCCGACGCTCTAATCACTGAGCCAAACCGGCCAGGGCGCCAACATGACATTTTTATGTGTGTTCATCATTGTATTCCCAATATCTAGACCAGTGTCTGACACAAAGAAGATCCTCAAAATTTTTTTGATAAATGAGTGACATAATATCCCTATTATAAGATGTAGAAATTGCAACAAAAGCAGTTGTTTGTCTAGGATTAATTAGATAGTAAGTGATAGAACTGAAATCCTGAGTTAGCCAGGTGATGTCAGAAGCCATCTTATCATATTACATCATACAACCTTCTTTAAAAACATTAGGAATCAATAGGGGGTTATAACCACAAATACACAGGAGAATCTGAAAATTCTAAGTGAATATATTTGCATAGTTATGCCAATAAAATGTAAAATCTCCATGTAATACACAATTTTCTAAAAAACATAAATCATAAAAATGATTCAAAAATATGTGAAAAACTTAAATAACCTAGAATAAATGGAAAATATTAATAGGAACTTCATCCTCCAAAGGGTACCAGGACTAAAATATTGTAAGAGGACATTTCATCAAACTAATAAATAGATCATTTCTACTACTTGAATGGTTCATGAGCATACAAAAAGTGAAAATGTTTTCGTTTTTAAATGAGGCAACCGTAACCCTAATGTCAAAAAAGACAAGGGTAGCACAAAAGAAAGCACGCTCTACTCAGAGCTCCTAAATAAAGTGACAAACTGAAACAGCAGTATATTAAACCAAGTGGGGTTAAATCCAAAAGTACAAGGATGGTTCAACATTTTAAGAAGCCACTAATGTAATTATTTCATGAATAAATTTAAAGAGAAAAAATATACGATCCTCTCAATAGGTACAAATTTGAATAGATGTCACCAGAGAAGACATAAATAACTAATAAGTACATGAAAAGATGCTCAACATCACTGGTCATTAAGGTAATGCAAATTAAAACCACAATGGGATACTACTTTATACCCACTACAATGCCTATAATTTTAAAAGATAGTTAATAATCGATGTCAGCAAGGATGTGAAGAAATTAAAACCTTCATGCATTGCTAGTAGAAAGGTAAAATGTTACAGCCCCTTTGGAAACTCATTTGGCAGCTTCTTAAAAATTTAAACATAAATAATATATGACCTAGCAATTTCCCTCCTAGGTAGCAACACAAAGAAAATAAAACAATATAGCCATAAAAAAACTTGTACATGAATGTTCATAACAGTATTATTCATAATAGCCCCAAACTGGAAACACCCTCCGTGTCAATCAGCTAACAGACGGATAGACAAATTGTCACATATTCAAGCAATGGGCAATTGTTCTGCAGCATAAAGGAACAGCCTGCAGACACACCCTACAAGGACAGACCTCAAACACGTGAGGCCAAGGGAAAGAAACCAGACCTAAAAGACCACATATTATACAGTTCCATTTATAGGGAATGTTCAAAAAAGGCAAATCTAGAGAGGCAAAAAGATTAGTGGTTACCTGGGGCTGGGATGGGCATGAGATTAGGCATGAGGCAACGTTTTGGGGTAGAATTGTTCTAAAACTGGATTGTGGTGATGGCTGCACAACTCTGTGGATGTATGAAAAATCACCAAATGGTACATTTTTTATATTTACATTATACTTTAGTAAAGCTATCAAAATCACATTTAGAAAAATGGAAAATCGTTGTTTTACAAATATATTTAATCAGTATTCTTTATGAAAAGCGATTTGATGGCAATGAAATTGAGCAAAAAATGGAAAGAATCAAAACACATGATTTTAGCATGAATTAACAAAAACAATAATTAAGTTCAGGGTATGATTACTTAAGACAAATAGACAACTGTAAGAAGAGCCCAGAGAAACAATAAACACTACCATCTTGGAAGATAAAAACTATGAGAAAAATGCTAAAACGACTGAAATTATTTGACCAAGAAAAAGAAAAAGACCAATCAGGGCCATTTAGTCATGATGGCAAAATCAAATTGCTCAAGTTTGAATCCCCATTACTTGCTCTATAAGTCTACTAACTTACCCATGTACATAGGAGTCCCACAGGTGGTCTGCAGCATGGCTTCACTCCCACCATGCTTCCTCACCGCTAAGCCAAAATCAGTCACCTAGAAGAAGAAACTCAGTCACCTGTCTTCCTGTCCCAGCGTTCTGTCATTCTGAAGGCAGGATTTTGTAACTGCATGGAATTCAGGGTCCTTGAGGATGGAGGGGCCTTACTTGTACTAGTAATAAGGACCTTGCTTTCCCTGCCCACCTCCCCCTCTCTGGGAAGAAGAAACTTAATAAAGATAGGCTTGGTTCTCAAATCTTGAGAAGACACTCAGGATGTTTATTATTCATTCCTTCTAATTAAATTCACCAGTTCAACACAGGAAGTGGCATCTTGAGAGAAGGCATTTAATTTTTTTCCCCAATAAACGTTATTTTTAAGAAGTTCTTTCACTGTAAAATACATTCTGGCCTTGTTATGTTTATTAGCTATTTTCCTGATACTCCAGCTACTTCTCTGTTTAAAGCACTGTTATAAATGCAAATCACTATCCTTTCCAGCTCTCACAGAAACTCCCCGTTTGTAATTATTTAAAAAACACTATCTCTGGTAAATACTATCTTTTCTTTATTATTTCCTTTGTGTTTCTAGAGTTACTAATTAAAACAATGACTACACTATTAAAAACTACAAGAAGCAAATTAACAGGGAAAAATACAGTATAACTACTAATACACTGGAGGCCGACTGCTGCAACTGCAGTCTTGCTGCTCAGTTCTAAACTGGTCATTAAACATTTGGTTATTAAATATTCAGGATGTGCCCTTGGTCTTGTCTCCCAAGTTGGAACAGCCTTGAGCTGAAAGCAGAAAAACAGGCACATTTATTGATCATATAACCAAAGATAGGCTGTTGGTGCACAGACACTGAATGGAAAGTTTCCAGAGCCTTATGGAGCAAGAGAATGTTCCTGTCAACACATGATATCACTATTCTTCGAAATAGATTAATCAATTTCCCCAAGAATTTTCACAATTATACCACTTGGAGTACTATGACACATACGTTTCTCCACAGAAAATCTATACAGATATCAAATAAACTAGGGTTTCACAATCCAATTCAGTTCTTTGGAGAGCATTTATTCCCTCATTCATCAAATATTAACTGAGCACATACTATGTTTCAGGCACTACTCTCAGCACCAGCAGTGAATAAGATATACATAATCCCTGCCCTCACAGAGTTTACAATGGAAATATTCAAGAACATTTACTCAGGTGAAACAGCAATACTGTTAAACTTATTTCTATTACAGGGATTTAGCATCTGCAACAGAGCGCGTTAGTCATAGACATTTTATTCCTAAATTAACACATTCATATATTTTGAAAGCAGCCACTATTAAAGTGCTAAGCAATAAATAATGTATCCTATCATTTATTTGACATTAAGTAATACTTAATTTGAATAAAATCTTCAAGAATAAACACTTGGCACATTAATTGTGCTTAGGATATAAATATTAATACCCAAGAAGATTTTCAGTGAGAAATACAGACTTTAGCATTAATTTAGTATCAGAGGCAGAGCCAAGGTGTGTTTTTTGCTAAATCTGTAACACATTTACATCAAATTACCAGGCATAATTTTGAAATTAATTAGAATTCAGAGCATCTGTTTGCTTGCTATTAACTAATGATTTAGAACTATCCAAATGAATATGTACTTAAAAAAAATTCATCAATAGTACCACTTAACTTGAAAAACTATTCTTGTCAGTTACAGCCTCTTTTGTGAATTTTTAATTTTTTTAACACCAACCACTTATTTTCTGGCTGCTCGAAGCTTCCAAAATGTGTCTAAAAAGAGGATGTACTTTGCCATTTTGCTATCAAACTGTTTATAGGCAAATATTTACCACCATTTCTAATATCTTACCTTTATGTTTACGTTCATTTCATTGTTAGCATCAATAAAGCTGCTTTTAACCATTATGTTTTCCAGTTTTAGATCTCTATGTACTATATCTACCAAGAAAATAAACAACAAATCAAATGAAATGAATAATGGAAAAATAGAGGGGACACGAAAGCAACAAATGAATATATTTGACAAATTAATGTCCACCGTTGAAATATTTGAGGCGAGCCATGCATAATTCTGCTCTGTTCCATTTCCTTATATTCAGACTCCTTTTCTCTGCATTTCTAACGTTAAGGAGCCACTTTCTTTGACTCCCTCCTCTCTCCCCATTCCCATGCCGCCCCACCTGGCTGCTGCTCTTCATGACAGCGGCCTGGTGAGCGGAAGAGGACCCTTTCCAAGGTTAGGCATTCCCAGGAAAGAGGGAGACAACTGTAGTTACAAGCTCAGGAAGGTTTCCCATAGATCTCCAAATGAAGAATTACTTCTTTCCTTCTATGCATATGCATTGCCAGTATAAACATTTAAGCCATGGCAACTTGGCTACATGTATACAAACTACACTGACTTCAGTATAATTTTTCTATGACATCAACACACACTTAACTAGTCTTTACATGTTAAAATAAAATTAAACAAAAACCTTGAAACACAAAATCTCCAGGCAAACATGCTAGACTTCAGGAAGGATTTTTACATACATGCAGATAATAATGTTCCAAGCACTTCCTTTGCAAATAACTGATTTGGTTCATATCCATAGCAATCATTTCTCTAGGCTTAAAAGGTTTTATGTATAACGGTGGGAAAATGTAGCTGCATGAGCCCCGGACTGGCAATTATACCTAACCATTTTTAGTTCCCTTGCACGGTTCCCAGCCTATGCTTTTGGAACTTTTATTGTATCTATTGCTCTGCTTATCTCTTCTTACATAAATACCACATGGCTTTAATTAATATATCTTTATACTGTTTTGACTGCTGGCAGGGCAAGTTTCCCTGCTGCCTCCATTATTCTTTTTCATTGTTTTCTTTGCTATTCTTACCCATTTCAGAATAATTTCACGAAAAACCCAGTTAAGATTTTTGCTTTGAATTATGCTGAATTTATAGATTAATGTGGGAAAATTGACCTCAGCATAATATTAAGCCTTTGGTTTCCCACCCTTGCAAAAACTGTTGCCCTCTGCCTGGAAAGCCCTCCCTTTTTCCTTCTGAGTCGTATTCCTCAGCTCAGGCTTCGCTTCCTCTGGGAACCCTCCCCTGCCTTTCCAACTCCAAGGAAGCTGAGGCTCGTATGCCCCTCGCACTTTCTATGTCTCTCCACTAGAGAAATGACCACGATCAACTACAATGTTTTCTACACCCACTCTCCCATCAGCCTGAATTTCTTGAGGGCAGGAGCTTTGTCTTCTCATCTTTGTGATTCTAGGACTGATCTCAATGCAGTAGGTGCTCAGGGAATATCTGCTCAATGAACCCCTGGGTTCCAGTACCCGCTCTGCCACGCCCAACCATGGCGCAGCACCTCTCTAGTCAGGTTTTTCTCATCTATACAATGAAAACTTTCCAAAATCACATGTAAGCCAACTAACTTTGAAAAAAAGGTGGAGTGTGAGGAAAAGCAGCAGCAACACAAAAGAAAAGTAAAGGGACTGGAATAACTAGAATAATTTTTTTTTTTTTTTTAATCCTCACCGGAGGACATTTTTCCATTTTTTGTACAGATAGAGTGGGAGGGAGAGAGAGGAAGGGAGAGAGAGTGAGAAACATCGACGTGAAGGGACACATCGAGTGGCTGCCACCCACACGACCAACCAGGGCCGGGGACAAACTGCAACCGAAGTACGTGCCCTTAGCGGGAACCGAACCCGGGTCTCCCAGACCACAGGCAGACGCTCTAACCGCTGAGCCAAACTGGCCAGGGCTAACTAGAATAATTTTTAAGTGTGGATTTTAAAGCAGTGGATACATGTTATAGCATACATTGGTCAAAACCCAGAGAATACACAACACCTAGAGTGATCCTAATGTAAAGTATGGACTTGGTGATGATGATATGTCAATGCAGGTTCATCAATTACAGAAATGTCCACTGCGTTGGGGGGTGTTGACAATGGGGGAGGCTGTTCATGGATGGGCAGAAGGGCAGACAGGTATCCCCCACTTTTCAAAAGTTCACATTACACCCCTTCACTTTTATAAAAGACCTACTTTAGCACCTGTTTTCGCTGATAGAAATTCAAAGAGGATTTTTGCTTTTATGAAAAAATGCAAAAAACAAAAATAGAGTTCAACAGTTGTTTCCAGCAAGCCTTTATAGAGGCATCGCATCCTGAACGGCCCGAGTGGCACCCCGAGCTCCTTTCCTGGGAACCACGCTCAGCATCTCAGCATCGAGCCACCATAGCTTTGAACTGTTTCTGGAGCATCTGCGCTTTATCTTGATTAATTCCGTGCATCTGTGAGCAAGATGTGTCCTACAGTATCAGAGAAGCCTAAGGGAGCTCATAAGAGTGTTACACTTACTGTAAAACTAGACGTAAGTAAGCATTTTGATCGTGGTGAATGAAATAAAGATAACACATAGGTGCTGAACTTGCCTGTGTCCACCATTTGCACTATTTACACAGAGATAAACAATCTTGAAAGCTGCCAAAGTTACTATTGGTTCTGCTCGTAGCAAAGTGGTGTCTTTTAATTTTTTTTAATTTTTTTTTATTAATTTTAGAGAGAGAGGAAGGGAGAGGGAGAGAGTGACAGAAACACCGATGAGAGAGGACATCAATCTGCCGCCTCCTGCATGCCCACAACTTTGGGCATGTGCCCTGACCAGGAATCGAACCGGCGACCTCTTGGTGCATGGGTCGATGCTCAACCACTGAGCTACACTGGCCAGGCCAAAGTGATATCTTTTTAGTAGGTATCCAATAATAGATAAAATGGAAAGTCTACTGTTTGAGTGAACCGATGGCTGTACAAAACATGCTGTGTGTTTACCATATCATCCCTGCGTTACTGTATGTTCGTGTCATTTGGTATGATTTGGTAGGTTATACTGGGGGCCTGGGAACAGTGAAAACTTTTCCACATAATTTGTGGGGGGTGTTGCTTCATGCCATTTCAGCTTACAAAAGGTTTCATAGGAACGCTCTGACAGCGGGAATATCTGTCTGGGAAATCTCTGTAACATCTGCTCAACTTCGCCGTGAACCTAAAATGGCTCTAAATGTCCAGAATATATAATTTTTAAATTATTAATATATAAATGCTTTTATAAATTTCACTTTTATTATTGATTTGTCTATTTTTTATTTGATAATAATAGCTCCTTCTCAAACTGTTAAACAGAAATGTTCACAACTTCATCCTTGTCCATGTACAATGTAATTGTATACTTGCCTTGTCTAATTAAATATATCTATAAGTATAGTTAAAAAGGAAAGCTCTTTAATTATTATTATTATTATTATTATCATTTATCCTCACCCAAGGACATTTTTGCATTTATCTTCAGGTAGAGTGGGAGGGAGAGAGAGAAACATCAATGTGAGAGAGACACACTGAGTGGTTGCAACCCACACGACCCCAACCAGGGCCGGGGACAAACTGCAACCGAGGTACGTGCCCTTAGCGGGGACCGAACCCAGGTCTCTCTGGTCAGTGGGCCGATGCTCCAACCGCTGGGCCAAACTGGCCAGGGTTAGCTTTTTACTTTTTAAGTAAAATCTCCCATACTCACAGGCGTTATTTCTGTGACTATGAATCCTGAGTACAATTACCCTGAAACAAAAGCGAGATCTGCATTCATGGAGTCAGTGACCAGACGAGCCTCTTCTCACCGTTATTGTGAAGATACGCTATAGCAGACGCGAGGCTTTGGATGATCCACCTTGCCTCATTCTCTGAGAAATGTCCTTTCCTCTCCAGAACTTTTTTGAGTTCTCCATCCTCACAAAGCTCCATCACAAGGTACATTTTCTGATGTTATATATTTAAAAAAAGAGAGAGAGCAAATTATATAGGTGGGGATCTTAAACATGTTCTATATTACATATATAGTAAAAATGTTATCATGATCTCAATCATCAATCTATTAGTTGCAAAATATTTATTATGTACAAGATACTGTGCAGGATACTAGAGGGGCACAGAAGCATAAGACAGTCTTTCTCCTCAAGGAGCTCCCAGTGCAGTTATAAATTCAGGTGGTAAGTGTTGATGGAAGAGGCAGGCCCCAGATGCCATGAGGTTTCAGAGGAGGGAGCCTCTGCCTAAAAAATGCTCACTGAGGAGGCGACATTAAAGGAGGTCTGAATGCGTGAATAGCAATGTAAGGGTAGAAAGGGTGGACAAGAACAGGCAGAACGCATGGTATTTGCAAAGACCACAAAACTTGAAACGACACTGCTGTTAAAAGTGCGCAGATCTCAGTGTTAATAGCACTGGGAGTTTGGTAGGACAGAGGAGAGTGGAGTGGTGGTGAGGCCTGAGACGGAAAGAACAGGCTGGTTCCAGATTATAAAGTCTTGGATCTCACAGGAAGGAGTCTGGAACTTTTCCCCATATGCAGTAAGAAGCCACTGAAGATTCTGAAGCTTGTGTCTGGAGTTGGGGAAAGGTGTACGCTGTTATCAATTTTGCGTTTCTAAAAGAACACTCCAGTAGTAATGTGGAGCAGGGCTCAGCCAGATTTTTCTGTCAAGGCCAGAACCAGACAATAAATACTTGCAGCTTTGTGGGCCATACTATCCCTTTTATAAGCAACACCACTCTGCTGTTACAGCATGAAAGCAATCATAAACAACACAATGAAACTTTATTTACAGACTCTAAAATTTCAGCTTCATATAATTTTCATGTCATGAAATATTACTCTTAAATTTCTTTTGACCATTTAAAAATGTAAAAGAAAAAACATAGTTTATGGGCCATAAAAAACAGGCAGCACACCAGATTTGGCTGGCACACTGTGGTATGCTGACCTGTTAACAGAGGGTAGACGAGAGGCACAGAATGGACACAAGAAGGGGAAGAAGAAAGATGCCTAGGAGAAAGAAGCAGTGGGACTTAGTGACTAATTGGCTACGAGTGGCAAAAGCCATAGATGAAATACCTCTTCCAGATTTGCTGTTTCTGTTCATACATATTAAGATCACTTTAGGTATCCCAACAGTCAAGTCATCTATTGAGTCAAAAAGATTCGCGGTCACCTAAAATCCAAGTCTTTTTCACACCCACTGCTATTCAGTCACAGAATACCCTCTCTGTCTCCATTCTAGTCTATGCTTCTAGATTTTTGTTGTTGTTTTTAAGATTTAGGGGTCTGATTCTATTCTACAACCACTAGGAATGCAACTTCTGTGTTCAATCAGCAAGCATGAAAACAGGAAGAGAAGGTTAACACCTTTTCTTTTTATAGTCAAAATTCTGATTCACTAAACCTGAGGATGCTTTAGAATTTCAAAAGTAACTGTTCTGCAAAGTCTAACATAATAGGCTTTTGAACAAGGCCATATTTCCCTACTGCCGGCACTGCAGAGACCACTGGCACATGACATGGTAAGAACTATTTAGAAGGAATGTTACATTAGCTTACAATATAAATTGATGTCCATTCTAAATCTGTACATTGATAAAAGTTATAGCAATAACAGTTTTTTAGAAGTCTTTTTATAATTATTAGAAATAATAGTGTCAATCTGGAGAACATTTGGACTCACAAAAAAACCGTAACTTAGTCAAAATGAATGATCAATACTAATACCACGGCCTCACCAATCAAGTAGTAATTTCCAGTAATTCTAAAGACGGCTTCAGCGGAAGGCCTAGGATTTGTGTGAGTTGGAGAGTGGAGAGAGGCAGAGCTGACCTATCCGAAGCAAGGGCAAGCAATACATAAAATGACAACCACAGATAACAGTTTCCTTTGCCTTCAAACTGTTCTAGATTTGGAACTGCACTTGTGCCCGAGATGGAGTAACATAGAGAGCAGACTTACTCTCCCTCCTGAAACAACTTAAGAAATGGACAAAATACACAGAAAAACAATTTTCAGGCATTAGACACCAGGCAGCAAAGGGCAGTGTTTCCAAAGAGAGAAACACAGGAGGCAAGCCCACCGGTCATCCTGGCTTGCTGTCTGGACAGCGTCCAGGCCACAGAGCAGGAAGAGGTCACCCAAGCAGAGCCCAGCAGTCTCCGGAATTGAGGGGATGGAGCCAGGAGCCCAGGAAGGTCAAGATGACTAAAGGTCCCAGGGCAGAGCACCAAAGAGGGGAAAGCTGCGCACAGAGAAAGCTCCATAGGTTTGCAGAGGGTCACCCTCAGGTCTCCAGCAGAATACTACGCAGCGCAAGTGCATGAAGAAGGTTCCAGAAGCTGGAAAAAGAACCATGCAAAAGGAACAGAAGGAATAACCACTGGAGCCTACATATGGAATACAAATGAGTTTGTATTCCCACTAGCCAGAGTGGAAAATCTCTTAATTTATGGGGCATCAGGGAGAGTACTCAGAAGGGTCTTTCCTCACTAGCAGGAAAACATGAGCCCTAGACGAGAGGCTGCTCCGCTGTCACCTAACAATGCTTCAAGCATCGCCCTGGCCGGTTTGGCTCAGTGGTTAGAGCATTGGCCTGTGGTCCAGAGAGACCCAGGTTCGGTTCCCGCTAAGGGCACGTGCCTCGGTTGCAGTTTGTCCTCGGCCCTGGTTGGTAGCGCGGGTGGCAGCCACTCGATGTGTCCCTTTCATGATGATGTTTCGTTCTCTCTCTCTCTCCCTCCCACTCTATCTGAACAAAAAAATGGAAAAATGTCCTAGGGTAAGGATAAAAAAAGCATCAGACGGTTTCTACGCCACTTAGCTATGTCCTACAATAGAGCCAAAGAATAGTTATGAAAATATAAAAATACCCAGCAACCAATAAAAAATTAACAGGCATAAAAAGACACAGGAAAATATAACCTGTAATGAAGGAAAAGAAAAATCAATCAAAACTAACCTAGAAATGACACACATGATAGAATTAGTAGAAAAGGACATTAAAAGTTATTATAACTAGCCCTGGCCAGTTTGGCTCAGCGGTTAGAGCGTCGGCCTGCGGTCCGGAGAGACCCGGGTTCGGTTCCCGCTAAGGGCACGTACTTCGGTTGCAGTTTGTCCCCGGCCCTGGTTGGTCGTGCGGGTGGCAGCCACTCGATGTGTCCCTTCACATCGATGTTTCTCTCTCTCTCTCCCTTCCTCTCTCTCCCTCCCACTCTATCTGTACAAAAAATGGAAAAATATCCTCAGGTGAGGATAAAAAAAAAAAAGTTATTATAACTATATTTAAGTAGGAGAAAATATTGACCCAAATCGAATTTCCATTGGAAAGGACAAAGAGCACATACAGTGCTACAGAAAGAGAGATTATTGAATCTGAAGACAACACAGAAGAAACTATGCTAAATGAAACAAGGACAGAAAAAAGATTCAGAAAATGAACAGACCATCAGGAAGCTGTGGACGAATACAAAGCAATCTAATATAAGTACTTGGAGTCCCCAAAGCGGGAGATGGCAGAAAAAATATTTAAAGAAATAATGGCCAGAAATTTCCTAAATTTGATGAAAACCACAAACTCACAGATCCAAGAGGCTCCATGAACCACAAGCACAAGAAACATGAAGAAAACTATACCGAGACACAACATAATCAAACTGCTTAAAACTGATCATTAAAGAGCAAAATTATTTTAAGAAGATTTGGGGGATAAGGAGATTTGGGGATAAAGAAATCACGACTTTAAGACTGGAAGTATTACGTTGGTCATCATTGCCATATATTGTGGCCCTGGCCAGTTTGGTTCAGCAGTTAGAGCACCCACCCATGGACCAGAGATAGCAGGTTTGATTCCCACTAAGGCACGTACCTCGGTTGCAATTTGTCCCTGGCCCCAGTTGGGGTCGTATGGGTGGCAACCAGTCAATGTGTCTCTCTCACATTGATGTTTCTCTCTCTCTCTTCTTCCCTCTCTCCCTTCCACTCTATCTGAAGATAAATGCACAAATGTCCTCAGGTGAGGATTAAAAAAAAAAGGATAACTGTGGTCTCTAATAGCTATTAAGCACTCCTAATGAATGAAGTATCACTGCCTTCGACTGACAAAGGAAACAAAGAATAACAGCTAACATTTAATGAGACAGATACTTTATATCCATTTTCCCATTTAATCACTCAACAAACAAATCCATTTTACAGATGAGGAAACTAAGGTAGAGAGAAGTTGAACAATTTGTCATGGTGTCATAGCCAATAATGGAGCCAGGATTCAAATGCACTGGCAATCTGACCCCAGAGTCCACATATCTAATCACTAAATTATTTTGCCTCCAAGCAGAGAAACACTCAAGCCCATAGGCACTAATCAGTCTGGAGGCAGAATGGCAAATCACCAGGCTTCAGAACAACTCTAATGAAAATTACAGGCATTCCAAGAGAAGAATGATAACAATAGGGAACAAGGAAGATTAAACATGTTGGTAAGACACAGACAAAATATCTTTTACATAGTGCTAAATATACCATGCTAACTTTATTATAAAGCTAACCTTCAAAAGCATGACAATATTCCAAGAGACTATCACAGAGAAACCAAGGACCAAAGCAAAATAAAGCCATCTCTAAGGAAGCCCTCATCCCTGTTTGGTTGTGTATGAAGTGGTTTCAATTTTAAACATTTGTTTTCAATATGCCACCTAAAACTATCACTAAAGCCATCAATCTAATCATCAGACACCTAATTATACAATCAATAATAAGAGTCCTCCCAAATGCTGTCATCCATCTTCAGTGACAAGCTCGTGCCGAGGACATGAGCAGCGTGCCTCAGAGGGGTTACTTCAGAAGGGAATAATGTTCACTGTGTAGTGACAACTTTCCAAACACAGCCCCTGCCAGAGCGTTACCGTGGGTGTCTCGAACACCTGCTCCAGGTGTATGATGTGTTCATGCCTCACACTTTTCAGGATGTCCACCTCCCGTTCGAGTAACTTCACAGCAGAGCTTCCAGCCTTAAATAGAGGAAACAGAGATTTCACATGTGCATGTCACTGCTACATACCTCGGTATAAAACTTACTCTTATGTTTTCCCTACACTTTGTTGAGAAGTTTCTTTTTCAAAAAAATAACATGCAACTTATTTCCATAATAAAATTAAATTATGCCCCTTTCTCCAATTTTATATATAATTTTATATATAATTTTACTTCAAACTCCATCTGTTTCTTGGACTTTTTCTATAAATTAGCTACAATATGGTCTCTGTCCCCTCACAAAAATTATTCCAATTTTTAACATGCTTTTTGGTATTTCCTTCAGAATCATGTTGATCCTTTGATGTTAGCATAATAAAGACAAAATCTACTTTCCAAGGACATCAATTGGAGAAGATAAAAAAATGTTTTTTTCTGTTTTGTTGTTGTTTTGCTTTGATTATATTTATATACATCAAAAGAAACAATAGGAAGTGAGACTTTACACTCATCCCTGCATTATATCACTTCCTGGTCCCCAATCTTCAAAAATTAACTGAGAAAGAGAAATTGAGATGTTGCCTTCACACCAATCTAACTCCAACTCGATCTCCTCGATGTGACCCTTAACCATACCTGACGGCAAAAGGTGAGGCAGCAGCACCCCAGGGAGCACAAGGCCTCCAATCAGGGTGTAAGTCACTGATTTTCTACAATGTCATCTAAGAATTTTAGAAGGACTTCCCCTGCTCCCCCCACTACCACTACCACCACACCAATCATCACCCCTACTGAATCTAAATGGCCATCATTGTTTGCAAATAAGCACTGTCCTTGTGCACATAAAATATCTCTGAGAGGGATAAGGAAGGTTTTATCCCTTCCTCCTTCCTCATACCTCAGCTGCCCCTCCAAGTTAGGAGAGTGCATATAGTTCTTAAAGGATTGAAAAGGGATTGATCAGAAGGCAATCTTTACTTACGTAAAAATTTTTCTTAGGGTCATTCCTGCTCTTACCCTTTAACCATGACCATCCCGGAGTGAGCAGGAAACTGTCCACTCACTACGCCCCGCCCATGTAGGATGAAAGTCACATTTTAAGGTTATCCTAAGAGGGTTAACAGGGATAGTGACAGTGAGGACTGAATTTCTGTCTAGACTAGATGTAAAAAGTTACCAAAAGTTCTCCTAAAATCCACCTCAATTCTGTTCCTACCTCCTTCTCCAAACAGCTTCACTTGTATATAACACAGTAATATATTATCCAAGTCATAACATTGATTAAATAATTTTATTTTACTATCTTAGTGTCCTGTAAACTCTCAGGATCAATATGTGTTTACAAGATTATGAATTCCTAAAACTACAAGCAGGTATCCTGACTATATAACCTAAAACTAACCCTTAACCCTACCTGATGCCAAAGGGGCAAAGGAAATGACGTCCCATGTAGCACCGTGGTTCTAAAATTCCGAAGACTAGTAGAAAAGCTCTGGATCTTGCTTTATTAAGATTAATATGTTACTTTATTAATCTTTAAGGAGAAATTATTCGTAATTTGCTATCGTTTGTTTTGAAGAACACATTAAAAACCTACTATCTCATTTTGTAATTGCAATACTTAGCATCAGAAATCTAAATTATAGTCCTGGCCGGTGCGGCTCAGTTAGTTGGGCATCGTCCCATGCACCGAAGGGTTGCCGGTTTGATTCCTAGTCAGGTCATATGTCCAGGGTGTGGCTCGATCCCCAGTATGGGGCATGTAGGAAGCAACCAACCAATGTTTCTCTCTCATCAATGTTTCTCTTTTCTCCCTCTCCCTTCCTCTCTATCTAAAAAAAAATCAATAAAAATATTGTTTTAAAAAGAAAAGTGAGAACAATTGGCAATACATAACAGTTGGTTTAAAATATATATATAAGGAAAAAACATAATTTTTCCCCAGGCACAGAAAATTTTTAAAAATTGATGAAATGATCAGGTGTAAAACCTGGGGACTTAGACTCTCCCTTAAGGGGAAGCCCCGTCATTCTCCGGCTCAGGGGACATCCAGTGAGGAATACAGAGGATATAAGTAGATAGCTGGGGGGAAAGTGGTTCAAACTAAAAGAATAGGTGGGATGAATAAACAGAATAAACTAACAACGAGGAAGTGGGAAATCAAAGGAAAGGAGAGAACAGGACAAAAGCAGAGCAGAACCCTCAGGAGAGAGCCCCAGCACTCACTCCTAGGAAGGCTCTCTAGCCAGTAGCCCTACATTATACATACTGATCATCGACATTACCTTCAGTTCTGGTAACCTTTACCTATATTTGGTAATACTGATTATGTTAGATATCTTTTCATTTGCTTTTTCCAGATACACTTGTCTTCCTGAGCTGAAGAACTGCTATCGTTCCAGAAGGTTTGAGAAATGCCCACAGACCCTGGGGAACAGCCCTGACCCCAGCCCACAAGGTCTGAGGCAGGTATGTTAGTGTGAAAACTATACTGCCCACCACACTGCACGGGTACTGCCCTCAGTATGATGCTGCTAATAAGCCTTACCTTTTCTTTGTTCACTTTTTTAATTGCCCACTTAGTTTCTGTTTCCTTGTTTGTAGCTTCAATGACCACTCCAAAGCTCCCTTTTCCCAATATTCTTCCAAATGTATATATTTCCTAGATAAAAAAAAATAAGAGTTCCTTTGTATTCCTTAGCCAGTCACTGAGTATTAAAAATGAACACACACTGACAGACATCCACCCAAGGGAAGAGAGATTTTGATCCAGGGTAAAACCAAATAGAAGGCACCACATATTTGCTTCAATATTACTAAACACATCTTAATTAAATAAAAATAAGCTTTGATGAATTTCATTAAATGTCTTTTGGAGGAAAACCATAAAAATCCTAATGGGGAAATGTATAAAAATGAATCTCTTACAAACTACAATATTAATAAAATATCTTCATAAGAAAAAGGAATGGAATATCAATACATACATACATACATACATACATATGTGTATAAAATACATTCACCCCCAAAATTATCACAAAACACTGAGAGCTATAAAATTAACACATATTAACCATAGAACAATTGCTTTCTTGTTACCAAGTAACACTTTTATCTTCATTATTTATATTAAAAATCACTTTTGTTGTTTTACTCCTCTTGTTTTAGAAAAAGCAATATGGGACAGAAATTTTAATATAAGTCAGCACTGAGGATAAAATAAAAACCATCTGTAGTAACACTATCCAGACCAAGAATCCTTCCGCTTATCATTTAACTTCTGCTCATGAACACAGCATGCACTGGTCTTGCCAACACCAGCATGCTGGTTCGCTCTGTAAAATGACACACAGATCACTTGTTCACACTTTCATTTCTTGTGAATTTGATTGGGAGGAGTCGATGTCCCTACTCCAAACCAACAAATATTTCTGGATCTTGAGAGAGCTTCTGAACACAAGAGAATGGCTGAGGTAATGCCGTTAGGTTGCGTCAGCCAGCAAAGTCTTCCCTAGAAGTGCTACTCTATCTCTGTGTCATCACCTTCACCAGGCCTCAGGTAAACTGGTTGCTAGTCTTCATCTTTTCTACCACTTATTTTCCTTTGTTACTTTAGTAAAAGCAGATTCAATGCCCAACTAATTATTTACCTCTCTCATGAAGGGCTTCCCTGACTAACTGCATGGTGGTGACTGTTCCTTCCTTCTGACTTCCATCAGCACGTATGCATTGGTCTTCAAACACTATTATTACTCTCTCGCCTACATTTTCCCCCCAAGATGGTCTAGAAGCTCCTTAAGAAGCTGTTTCTTTTTCTTTCTTTCTTTTTTTTTTTTATCCTCACCCGAGGACATTTTCCCATTTTTTTGTTCAGGTAGAGTGGGAGGGAGGGAGAGGAACAGAGAGAGAAACATCGATGTGAAAGGGACACATCAAGTGGCTGCCACCCACACGACCAACCAGGACCAGGGACAAACTGCAACCAAGGTACATGCCCTTAGCGGGAACCGAACCCGGGTCTCTAAGGACTGCAGGTCGATGCTCTAACCGCTGAGCCAAACCGGCCAGGGCAAGAAGCTGTTTCTTTTGTGCCCTTTAAAAAGCGTACCCTGAAACCATGTAAGCAAAATGTTCATGTTTAGTGCATGGGGATAAGGAAGGAAAGGAGGAAGGGAGATAGGAAGGGAGGGAGGAAGAGAGGTGGGAGATGGAGAGGGGAGTTAAGGGGAGGAAGAAAAGAGAAAGAAAAGGAAAGAAAGAGAAAGAGATGGGGAGGGAGAGAGAAGAGAGATGAGGAGGAAAGGGAAGGGAAGAAAGAAGGAAATACTCAGTTTCAACATGTTTGACTTTGCTTAGATATTTCCTTACGATATATACTTTGGGGGCTACAAAGTTGAATAAAACATAATTCCTGTTTTCTCAGAATTTGTAATCTCCTCAAGAGACAAGATTATTCTTAAGTCAGAAAGTCTTAAGTTAAAATAAAAATACAAAATGACATTGGGGCCAGAGACTAGAGCTAAAACACTGGAAGAACAAAGGAAACCATTATGAAAGAGGTAGCTTCTGAGACTGGCATGTGAGGGAACAAGGGCAAAAAAGTAATTGAGATTTTTTTTTAATCCTCACCCAAGGATACTTTTCCATTTTTGTTCAGATAGAGCAGGGGGGAGAGAGAGAGAGAGAGAAACATTGACAGGAAAGGGACACATCGAGTGGCTGCCACCCGCACGACCAACCAGGGCCGGGGACAAACTGCAACTGAGGTACGTGCCCTTAGGGGAACCGAATCCGGGTCCCTCTAGACTGCAGGCCGACGCTCTAACCACTGAGCAAAACTAGCCAGGGCTGAGATTTTTTTTTTCCAATAATCCAAGCAAGGCAAGGAAGGCATTCCAAAGGAAGAGCCGTACAAATGTGGAATGAATTCGTGAACTGATAAATGAATGAATCAATAAATCCTGTCAGCAAGCCAGCAGTTGGAATCCTCCTACATATACATATTTGATTTTTTTTTTTAATCCTCACCTGAGGATATTTTTTCAAATATCTTCAGATAGAGTGGGAGAGGGAGAGAGAGAGAGAGAGGAACATTGATGTGAGGGGAACACATCGATTGGTTGCCTCCTGCATGACCCTGACCAGGGCCGGGGACGAACTGCAACAAAGGTCCGTGCCCTTGGCCGGAATCAAACCCACAACTCTTTGGTCCATGGGCTGACACTCTACCGCTGAGCCAAACCAGCCAGGGACTACATATACATATTTGAGAGAAGCGAGAGACTGGGTATGTGAAGTTGAACCCTGACGGAAGAGCTCCAGATTTACCGTCTTAACTACTTTAAGTAGAGACCCCTAAACTCACACAGGGCACATCCCGTCCCCAAGACACTGCTTTCAGATGACTTATAATTACTTCTACTCCCCTCCCTCCCCTGCTCCCACTTAACAGAGAGAGTTAAAGTCAGAAAACTAAGATGATTTAAATAAGACAAAATATTTTACTTTTATTATTATATGCCACTCCCAACTATTTATTATGTAAAATAAGTTAAATCTGAATTTAAATGGTCATTTACCTTTTCTCCCCCACAGAACAAAATAATCTCAATTCTATCACCATTTCCCCAATTTTTCTCGACCTTTAAAAACTAAACTCTCATTTTCTTTCTAAACATATAGAACCACAACTTGGACACAGAATTTTAATAGTTTAAATAAAACTTTTTAAAATGAGGAATGGGTAGAGGAATAGTTCAATTGCCCAACTACATTTTTTAATAAACTAATCTTTTTCTTTAACTACTGGCTTTGACATCATTAAATAGTGGTAAAAATAAGAAGAACATGACTTCTTGTTCATATTAATTTTGAGAGGATGCTATTAAAACATAATATAGATCTATTTTTATTGACATGACAGTGTGTGGAGTGTAAAAGCATGCATGACATGATCCCAGTATGAAAATGCTGAAATGTGTGTATGTGAGGATGCTTATATTAAAGTCTGGAAAGACGTTCATTTAAATATTGAGTAGTTATCACCAGGAAGTAGAATTTTGGATGATTTTTTAAAAAGTTTTTTTATCCTCCCCCGAGGACATTTTTCCATTTTTTTGTTCAGATAGAGTGGGAGAGAGAGAGAGGAGGAAAAAGAGAGAGAGAAACATTGATGTAAAAGGGACACATCGAGTGGCTGCCTCCCGCACGACCCAACCAGGGTTGGGCACAAACTGCAACCGCGGTTCGTGCCCTTAGCGGGAACCGAACCTGGGTCTCTCTGGACTGCAGGCCGATGCTCCAACCTCTGAGCCAAACCAGCCAGGGCAGAATTTTGGATGATTTTAACTTCCTTTTTTATAATCTACTGCAAGGTTTAAAATCTTCAAAATGAGCCTGTCTGTTAAATGGAGGAAGAGAAACTTGAACTATACCAGTTAACGTTATTTCTTCAAAATGTATACAAGAAATAGTTCATCATTTAAGAGAGAAAAAAACTGAAAAGAAAATATAGGATATATATATATATATATGCATAAAAAATAAAGGTAATAAATGTTATGTTAAAACTGGTTATATCTGGCTCATAATTTTTATTTTCTTCACTTTTCTACGTATATTTTCCTAATTTTTCACAACAAACACATTTTGATTTTGTAAGAGCTCTTATGACTACATTTACAACTCAGCAAATTTCGTCCAGTCGGTGTGGCTCAGCCGCTGAGTGGCGATCCTGCACCAGGAGGTCGCCAGCACATGCCTGGTCAGGACACATGCCCAGATTGTGGGCCGATCCCCAGTGGGGGCATGCAGGAGGCGGCCAGTAGATGTTCTCTCTCATGAATGATTCTATCTCTCTCTCCCTCTCCCTTCTTCTCTCTCTAAAATCAATAAAGGAAAAAAAATTATTTTAATAAAATAAAAATAGAACTCAGCAAATTTGTAGATTTTTTAAATGCAGACCTTTTCTTTCTTTCTTTCTTTCTTTTTTTTTTATCCTCACCTGAGGACATTTTTCCATTCTTTGTTCAGGTAGAGTGGGAGGGAGAGAGAGGAACAGAGAGAGAGAGAGAGAGAAACATCGATGTGAAAGGAACACATCGAGTGGCTGCCACCCGCACAACCGACCAGGGCCGGGGACAAACTGCAACTGAGGTACGCGCCCCCAGCAGGAACCGAACCCGGGTCTCTCAGGACCGCAGGCCGACGCTCTAACCGCTGAGCCAAACCGGCCAGGGCCAGACCTTTTCTTTAAAGGGGGATATTTAAGCTTTTTTAAGTTAGAATTTCTCAGGAAGTTTTTCTGATCACTTGAGGTATATTGCCAAATATTTCTTAATATGTTTTTTAAAAGTTAACATTAATTCAAATTTCTTCTAGTAGCTGTTCTTGTTGAAGTTCCTTTAAACTGATATTATAGTATCACATTTAATTTCTAAAATGGTACTAATATTTAATTCATATTTGTATATTGTAATTAGAATCCTAGGAAGACAGTATTGGTATTCATCCAATCAGAGGCTGCAAAAAAACAGCCTCCAGGAAGTGAACAGCCAAACATGACAAGTCCTCTGGTCCCTCTCTGCATCTTAAAGAGGTCTACACAAAGACTCCACAATTGCCCTCAGCAACAGGCAAGATCTGAAGATCAAAATGCTCTAATTTTAAAATGCCCTCCACGTTGATTAAAGTCCATTTGGTCCTCTATGGAAGGAAAAAATAGTCTGTATTGTCCGTAGTAAAGACTGACATACTTGGACTTCCGGTCAAGATGGCGGCGTAGGTAAACACGGTATCGCGTCCTCCCACAACCACATCAAAGTTACAACTAAACTACAGAACAACCATCATTCAAAACCACCTGAAATCAAGCTGAATGGAAGTCCTACAACTACGGAATTAAAGAATGGCTTCAAGACTAGAAGGAGGGGTGGAGGCGCAACAGGCTGGTCCCCACACCCACGTGTGGTGGATGAAAATCTGGAGGAACACATCGGCTGGGAAGGTACTCCCTAAGGACTGAGGGGTCCTTGTCCCACTCAGGCCCCCAGCAACAGGGTTCCAGTGCCAGGAAGAGAAGTTCCTATAACTTCTGACTGTAAAACCAGCAGGAACTGAGGCTCAGGGAGGCTGAGGAGGCTGGAGCCCCAGGCAGCTCCTCTTAAAGGGCCCGTGCACGAATTTACTCAGACTTGCTCCTTCTAATCTCAGAGGGGAAGCAGCTAGAGGGGCGCCAGAGACATATAGGGAAGAACAGAGCTGTTTGGCATTGGAGTGAGGGCTGGAGAGGGGGCTTTCTCCTGGACAAACATGCTGTCAGAGGCCTTTGTTCCCTTGGTGAGCCATTCCCTGGGGCGGCAGAGGGCTGCCATACCTGGAACTCCAGCAACTTGGCTCACACTGTTTGCCCCACCCAACTTTCAGGCCCACCCAAGCTGTTTCCAGTTGCTTTACCATAGGATTGGCCTGTCTGGATCCTGCTTCAGGTTTTCCTAAATTCTTTCAAACAAGTAGCATCTGGTCTCAGCTAGCCCCATACCTCTTGTTAAGTAATACATAGAAACAAACACAGGGAGGCAGCCAAAATGAGGAGACAAAGAAACAGGTCCCAAATGAAAAAACAGAACAGAACTCCAGGAAAAGAACTAAGTGATATGGAGATAAGCAACCTAACAGATGCAGAGTTCAAAACACTGCTTATAAGAATGCTCAATTAACTTATTGAGAAACTCAGCAAACTCAGTGAGGGCTGCAAGAGCATAAAAAAGGACCAGTCAGAAAGGAAGGATGTACAGTCAGAAATGAAGGAGGCACTAACTGAAATAAAGAATAATTTACACAGATTAAATAGTAGAGTAGGTAAAGCCAAGAAGCAAACCATCAATTTGGAATATAAGGAAGCAAAAAACACCCAATCAGAATAGCAAAAAGAAAAAGAATCCAAAAAAATGAGGATAGTGTAAGGAGCCTCTGGGAACTTCAAGCATGCCAACATTCGCATCTTGGGGGTGCCAGAAGGAGAAGAGAGAAAACAAGAAATCGGAATCCTATTTGAAACAATAATGGCAGAAAACTTCCCTAACTTGGGGAAGGAAACAGACATACAAGTCCAGGAAGCACAGAGAGTCCCAAACAAGATGAACCCCAAGAGGCCCACACCAAGACACATCATCATCAAAATGTAAAAGGTTCAAGACAAAGAGAAATTCTTTAAAGCAGCAAGAGAAAAGCAGTTAGTTACCTACAAGGGAGTTCCCATAAGACTCTCAGCAGATTTCCCAAAAGAAACTTTGCAGGCCAGAAGGGAGTGGCGAGAAATATTCAGAGTGATGAAAAGCAAGAACCTACAACCAAGATTACTCTATCCTGCAAAGCTGTCATTTAGAATCGATGGCCATATCAAGAGTTTCCCAGACAAGAAAAAGCTAAAGGAATTCATCATCATCAAACTAGTATTATATGAAATGTTGAAGGATCTTCTTGAAGAAAAAGATAAAAAATATGAACAAAATGGCAATGAATACATATCTATGTAATTAAATCTACAAACAAAATGAACAAGCAGAACAGAAACATTCTCATAGATACAGAGAACATTTTGCTGGCTGGGGGAATGAGTGAAAAAGGTGAAGGGATTAAGAAGTACAAATTGGTTTTTAGACTGACAAACCTCAAAGGGAAGGGGGGTTGAGGGGTGGAAAGAAATAAACCAAAGAACTTATATGCATAACCAATGGACACAAACAAAGTGTGGAGAAAGGCAGGCGGGGGGCAGTAGTGGGGAGGAGGTCAATAGGGGGAAAATGAGGAACATCTGTAATACATTCAACAATAAAGATAAGTTAAAAAAAAAACAACTTTGATATACTTGAAAATGGTAAATTTCCCCTTTTCTTTCCTTCCCTGTCTTAGAAACTTATTTTTAAATCTTTTTTGCCATTAACCATTGACACAGAAGAAACCTGAAAGTTCCTAGTAGCTTCACTTTGCTTTCTAAATACCTGAATAGCAGCTCCATTGTCCATCCTGATGTGAGGAACTTTCACTTCTGTAAAGTTGCCCCGACCCCACTGCTGTTGAGATGCCTTTCTCTCTACACTTGAGGTTTGTGAGGGCTTAGACCAAAAAAGGAATAAAAAAAAAGTAATATGAAGATATAACACACATGTTGACAAAGTAGGAATCATAATTTAGATATGACAAATCTTTAATGTGTGCCATGTCTATTTATTCTGTACAATATAATTCACTGTCTTTTTCAAATTCTAAGCCCTATACAATTTATTGACTCATTAGGCTAAAAGAGACCTTAAGAAGTCACTCAAACTAATCTCCTAACTCCAAGCAAGTGTACATTATAACCTGCATAGCAGATAAATCATAACTTACCTGATTCTTTAAAATTGTGAGAAGACTTCACAGCTTTTTCCATCATTCTTGTTTCAAAACATAACAATCATCTCAAATAGGTTATACATAAAAATTTTTTTGGCCAGACATTCAAAAAATAAGCTTCAAATGAAAATAACATAGTAACAACTCACTCAGTAACGACTAACTCAGAGATGCCTATATGGTAGTAACTATACAGTAATACAATTCAGGAAAAAAAACAGTTTAGGGTAAGAATTTGAAAAAGTTACAACAACTTTGAGGACGGAAAACCTAACTTTTTTTTTATCCTCACTCGAGGACATTTTTTCATTTTTTGTTCAGATAGAGTGGGAGGGAGAGAGAGGAAGAGAGAGAGAGAAACATCGATGTGAAAGGGACACATCGAGTGGCTGCCTCCCGCACGACCCAACCAGGGTCGGGGACAAACTGCAACCGAGGTATGTGCCCTTAGCGAGAACTGAACCTGGGTCTCTCTGGACTGCAGGCCGACACTCTAACTGCTGAGCCAAACAGGGCAGGGCAAACCTAACTTTTCTTAAACTTACTGCTTTCTGTCTCCAAAACTGTGCTATATCATGTAAAATCTTCCACACTCACTTGTCTTTAGAAAGGTGAATACAGCCCTGGCTGGTTTGGCTCAGCGGTTGGAGCGTCGGCCTGCGGTCCTGAGAGACCCGGGTTCGGTTTCCGCTAAGGGCACGTACCTCGGTTGCAGTTTGTCCCTGGCCCTGGTCGGTTGTGCGGGTGGCAGCCACTCGATGTGTTCCTTTCACATCGATGTTTCTCTCTCTCTCTCTCTCTGTTCCTCTCTCTCCTTCCCACTCTACCTGAACAAAAAATGGAAAAATGTCCTCGGGTGAGGATTAAAAAAAAAAAAGGTGAATACACCCAAACCAGTCCAACTGGGTAGTCATAGATTGTAACTAATGCAAATTGATTTTGTAGAGTATATTTGATATTCCAACTAGATAACCAGAAATTATCTTAAATAATAGCTACCCTATATTTAACTACAACCATAAATCTCATTCTGCACTGAAAAAATGACCCCACATCTGTATAAACCACTTTTTAAAAAAAGTTAGATCAACATTCCAAATTATTCACAGTGCTGGGAAACAATTAATTTGGGCAGTGTTAGAAATATCCTAAAAGAAAGTACTAACCAACTTTGCTCACCTCTTGTGTAAGAAAGAAACATTCCTTTAATAGTTAAGAAGGCAATGAATTAGCTGACAAGGGCCCATGAATGAAGGTAGGGATGTGATTAGAGTGGGATTTCAACTTGGGCTGAGAAGTAGAATCTTTGATATTTACCAAATCTTTTGCAGAGGTCTTATTTTTAGTAAAAACTTGTTCATTTCTTCTCTCTGATGACACTGAAACATCTGAATGACCAATGCTTGATGTCTGTGACATTTCCACCACCAGCACTGGAGAAAGCCTGGTTTTATAGGAACATGTACAAAGTGTATTTTTCTGAGAAGTAGACGAACAGTAGGGACACTTTGTGGGTTTTTTCCCAAAGTCACTATCAGCCATTTTCTGAACTCTGCAACAAAAGCAACTTGAAAGAAAGCCGTTTCCACTCTTTGGGGAAAAGAACCAAACTAAAAAGGATAAGGTAAGCTGATGGCAAAACTGGTAACTTCCAACTGGTGAGGTCCTTATGTTAATGAAGCACTAGACTCATATTCATACATGAGAGCTGCAAAAAGAAAAGAAATCACCATTTAGAAAATTCTTTCTTATCCTAGAAATGAGAGAAAAACTAGCAACTAACACTAAAAGCATCCTGACTATAAATGAAAAGTTAATATTTACAACAAAATAAGGACACATTTTAAAAAGCAATGAATTCTCGTCTTTCAAAATTAAATTCTTGAACTTCAGAAATTTTATTTATCAATCAAAAGAATCACCCTCTCTGTTGAGAACCATGAAAATGCTGAAAAGTACAGTCTAAGGAAATCAATTAGGTGGATTGATATCAGTTTATTAAATGAAATAGAATAATTTCAGAATATTTTGCATAGGCTCCTTGGTAAGTTTTGTGAAAACTTTATTTTAATTATATAGATATCTACATCTATAGAATGTGTGTGTGTGTGTGTGTGTGTGTGTGTGTATGTGTGAGAATACTTGGTCACATTATAAAATGTATTTCTTAATGTGACTTTGGTTTAAAAAAAGCTAAAAATACTGGTGTGAAACATACATTACAGTAATTTCAAAATTTAAACCTTGGTCTACTAATTATTAGAGAAAATTTATGACATACATCACAAAGAAGTAGACAATTTGATTTCATAAAACAACCTAATTCTAAAAGTTCAAAGGCAGTATTAGAAGAATCTTCATTTTTATACTCAAATAGAAAAAATAGGAAATAATGGGTGCTATTTTCCCCCAAGTGTAGAATAGATATGCCCAGCACTCTACCTAACTAGAGTTATTGGCAGTTATACGGTTTTAAATTGGAAAAATATGAGCTGAGGAAGGAAGGAGGAATGTGTGCTGCAGTACATATAAGAGAATACCTGAAGAAACTTGCAGAAGTAATTGCGTGTACATTATTATAGTCTTGTGCCATACTATTTCAGATATTATTTAAAAGTATACCGGGTTGGGCAAAAGTAGGTTTACAGTTGTTTGTATAAAAATAATACAATAATTAATAAATAATAATACAAGAATAAAGTGTGTTTCACTTACTCACAACTATAATCCTACCTTTGCCCCATCCTGTATTTTATAGTCACAGGTTTTTGTTGAAAAACAAAGTCAAGCATTTGTGAGAGGAGCGCGCGCGTGTGTGTTTATTGGCATCAGGTGCATTCTTTCCCCCCTCTGCCTGTCCAGAGGGTAGTTTTTACACACCTCTTCTTTCTTTCTTTGTCAACCAGGAATAGAATCTTTTTTTTTCTCAATAAAGTAATATCAAGATGAAGAAAATAAAATTGCACTCATGGGCAAAAACAAACAAAAAACAACAACATTACCATGCTATCTTGAAAAACTGATTGGAAATTATAAAGCTGAGTATTTATCAAAGCTACTGGTACTTCACAATGATGGCTTGAAATTTGAAGTTGAAATTTATTCCAAAGAGCATGAAATCAAAATTTTAATTCACATTTAGATAGCACTTTATATTTGACGAAGCTTTTTATTATTTTTATTTATTTACTTATTTTTTTCAATTACCCTTGACCTACAATATTATATTGGTTTCAGGTGTACAGCATTGTAATTAGACATTTATATATCTTATGAAGTGCTCACCCCAATAAATCTAGTACCCATATAACAATACATAGTTATTACATTATTGACTATATTCACTATGTTGTACTTTTTTTTTTTTAACCCTCACCCGAGGACATTTTTGCATTTATCTTCAGATAGAGTGGGAGGGAGAGAAGGAGGAAGAGAGAGAGAGATAAACATCGATGTGAGAGAGACACATTGACTGGTCGTCACCCACATGACCCCAACCAGAGCCAGGGACAAACTGCAACCAAGGTACATGCACTTAGCAGGAACCGAACCTGGGCCTCTCTGGCCCATGGGCCAACACTCTAACCGCTGAGCCAAATCTGCCAGTGCTATGCTGTACTTTTTACATCTCTGTAACTATTTTTATAACTGGAAATCTGAGCTTCTTAATCCCTTTCACCTTTTCCACCCACCCTCAACCCCTCTTCCATGTGGCAATCATCAAAATGTTCTCTGTATCTATGAGTTTTTTTTCTGTTTGTTTTGTTGTTGTTGTTGTTGTTTGTTTTGTTTTTTAGATTCCACATATAAGTGAAATCATATGGTATTTGTCTTTCTCTGTCTGACTGATTTCACTTAGCACAACACCCTCTAGGCCCATCCATGTTGTCCCAAATGGCAAGATTTCCTTCTTTTTATGGCTAAGTAATATTCCATTGTGTATATGTACCACATTGAAGAGACTCTATTTACCCCATTGTATATTCTTGCCTCCTTTGTCATAGATTGACCATATAGGCATGGGTAAGATTTCCTTCTTTTTATGGCTAAGTAATATTCCATTGTGTATATGTACCACATTGAAGAGACTCTATTTACCCCATTGTATATTCTTGCCTCCTTTGTCATAGATTGACCATATAGGCATGGGTTTATTTCTGGACTCTCTATTCTGCTCCATTGATCCATAAGTCTGTTCTCATGCCAGTACCATGCTGTTTTGATCACTATAAACTTGTAGTATAGTTTGATACAAGGTGGTGTGATACCACCAACTTTGTTCTTTCTCAAGATTGGTTGGGCTACTAGAGGTCTTTTGTGTTTCCATATAAGTTTCTGGATTATTTTTTCTAGTTCTGTGAAAAATGCCATTGGTATTTTGATAGGTGGTGCATTGAACCTGTACACTGCTTTGGGTAGTAATGGGCATTTTAACTATGTTAATTCTGCCTATCCATCAGCATGGAATAGTTTCCTTTTATTTGTTATCTTCTTCAGTTTTTTTACTCCATGTCTTATAGTTTTCTGAGTATGGGTCTTTTACCTCCTTGGTTAAATTTATTCCTAGGTATTTTATTTATGGTGTAATTGTAAATGGGATCATTTTCTTTTCTTTCTTTTTTTTTTTATCCTCACCCGAGGACATTTTTCAGTATTTTGTTCAGATAGAGTGGGAGGGAGAGAGAGAGAAAAAAAAACATCGACGTGAAAGGGACACATCGAGTGGCTGCCACCCACACAACCCAACCAGGGCCAGGGACAAACTGCAACCGAGGTACATGCCCTTAGCGGGAACCGAACCCGGGTCTCTCCGGACCGCAGGCCAATGCTCTAACCACTGAGCCAAACCGGCCAGGGCAGGGATCATTTTCTTAATTTCTGTTTCTGATAGCTCATTATTGGTGTATAAAAATGCAAATAAACCCTGGCTGCTTTGGCTCAGTGGTTAGAGTATCGGCCCACGGACCAATGAATCACAGGTTCAATTCCAGTCAAGGGCACATTTGATTGGTTGCAGTTTGTCCCTGGCCCCGGTTGGGGTTGTGTGGGAGGCAACCAGTCGATGTGTCTCTCTCACATCAATGTTCCTCTCTCTCTCCCTCCCTCCCACTCTATTTGAAGATAAAATAGAAAAATATCTTTGGGTGAGGATTAAAAAAATGCTAATTATTTCTGAATATTAATTTTGTATCCTGCTACTTCACAACATTAATTTATTAGCTGTAATAATTTTTTGGTGGAATCTTTAGGATTCTGTATATACAGTATCATGTCATCTACAAATAATGACAGTTCTATTTCTTCCTTTCCAACTTGAATGCCTTTATTTCTTTTTCTTCTCTGATTGCTGTAGCTAGGACTTCCAATACTATGTTGAATAAAAGTGATGAAAGTGGACATCTTTGTCTTGTTCCTGAGCTTAAGGAGAAGCTTTTAGCTTTTCACCACTGAATACAACGTTAGAGGTGGATTTGTCATATATAGCCTTTATTATGTTGCAATGTTTACTCTATCACCACTTTACTGAGAGTTTATTATAAATGGATATTGGATTTTGTCAAATGCTTTTTCTACATCTATTAAAATGATATGATTTTTAGCCTTATTTTTTTTTATGTGGTATATCACATTAATTGATTTGTAGATATCAAACCAACTATGCATCCCAGGAATAAATCTCACTTGATCATTGCATATAACCCTTTGATTTGCTAATATTTTGTTGAGAATTTTTCATTGATGTTCATCAGGGATAATGACCTATAATTCTTTTTTTTTTGTAGTGTTTTTAGTTTCGGTATCAGAATAATGCTGGCCTTGTAAAATGAGTTTGGGAGCCTTCACACCTCTTCAATTTTTTGGAATTGTTTGAGAAGAATAGGTAATAATTCTTTGAATGTTTCATAAAATTCTCCCGTAAAGCCATCTGATCCATGACTTTCGTTTGTTAAGAGTTTTTTTTTTATTATTACTGATTTGAATTTGTTAGTAGTTATCAGTCTGTTCAACTTTTCTATTTCTTCCTGATTCAGTCTTGGAAGCTTGTATATTTCTAGGAATTTGTCCATTTCTTCCAGGTTGTCCAATTTTTTGGCATACAATGGTTCATAGTATTTTCTTATAATCATTTCTATTTCTGTGGTGTTGGTTGTCAGTTCTCCTGTTTCATTTCTCATTTTTAAATTTAGGCACCCTCTCTTATTTTCTTGATGAGTCTGGCTAAAGGTTTATCAATTTTGTTTAACTTTTCAAAGAACCAGCTCTCAGGTTCATTGATCTTTTCCGTTGTGTTTTTTAGACTCTATTTCGTTTATTTCTGCTCTGATCTTTATTTTCTTCCTTCAACTCACTTTACACATTGTTTGTTCCTCTTTTCCTAGTTCCTTTAGGTATAAAATTAGATGATTTGGGGTGGCAGTTTCTCATTTCCTGAGGTAGACCTGTGTTGCTATGAATTTCTCTCTTTGAACTGCTTTGGCTGTGTCCCATAGATTTGAGGTCATTGTGTTTTCACTTTCATTTGTCTCAAATTATCTTTTGAT